ACTGTAAATGGACCTTTATAAATTGCCTGTACATATCAGGTCTAAGGCGCTTCACTGTTATCATGGATGAATAATTCTTAGCAATCCAGGATGGATTTTCAAAACACAAAACCCAACAAACCCCCAAATTCTATTTGAAAGTACTCTATTTAGCTACCTGTATTCACTCAAAGCAAAAAATTACCATGTCTGTTACCTGAAAAATATAATTTAACTGCACAAAGAATAAATGCTGTTTCATTAGTATAGTTTCTGTGAATATAGTTATGGTGAGATTTGCACATTAATTCTGAATATGGTAAACCCTGGCAGGAGAAGAATGAAGTGTGCAGAGCTGGGTCCCATTTTACCCAAAGCCTGTATTTTTCTTGGAGAGGAGAAAGAAATTAAAGTAAAAAGAATAAATGGCTATTTTCATTTCTACGTGTTTTACAAAGGAATAAATTAAAAATCTGAACTGCTCAAATGTATTTAAATTGTAAGTAATGGAAAGCGGGGAAGGGAGAAATTTATTGAAAAGTCTACTTTTTATTTTTAAAAATGGCAGAAAACTGAAAAGCTCCATTTAGAATTGTGTAATTTCTTTGTTTTAATACTTCTAACTGGAACAAAAAAAAAAAAAGTCTTTCAACAGCTTAAAAATGCTTTGCTGCACTTTGTAGATCTAAACTTTTATCTTAGCTTGCTTGGATATTCAAATGCCTGTCCCCTTACCACTCCTTTGCCCCCAGGACTTGTCTGTTTGATGCTTCACAGCCTTGTTCTCAGTAACAGACCAGACTCTGAACCACTTCTCCTATGATGCACCATGAGCTCTTCGCAGCTCATCTCTAAATGGCACACAGCAAAAGAGTTTAACTGGGAATCCCACTTTACAGAAGAGAACAATGACATGCAGGCACTTGGGATTTTGATCGACATCTGCAATAAGTAGACTTGATTTTTCAGAAGCAAACAGAAAAATTCTGTTTTCCTCAAATGCCCAGTTTGCTTTGAAAAACTACCAGTTGAAAGATTTTGATCAGGCTTCATTTAAAAGCAAGGTGGGATGAAAACTGTAGAAATTCTATGTATAAAATAGCTAATAACCAGACCATAAACATGCAGAGTTGCACAGGCAACTAAATTAATTGCCTGCTATATTCCAGTCAGCCCAATGGCCACAGCTTTACTGCTAAATAAGCATTCTTCTTCAGAAGAACAGCAGCGCTTTCCCAGGGTGACTCCTGCTGTACCCGAGCAGCACTCTGCACCAATTTCCACACAATTCTTATTTCTTGTGCCTTTCCTTGGGTTTGATCTTTTTCCCATCTGAAACCAGTGGGATGTTTCCAGGGGGGATCCGACCTGCCAGATCTGATGGGACCAGGGTGTGGGATCTTGCCTTATGAGAAGGTTTATTTAGAGCTGTTGAGAGGAGTTGCCACATCTCCCTTCAGCCACACGTTTTCATCCAGCCAGGTGGGAATTCAGCTTACAGTGGATAAGCTATGGTTTTTCTGATGGAAAAGTACCTTTTTGTAGGCTTTACACTCTACCATGTTTCAACCCAGAAGGGATTTCTTCCAGTCCAAACCCATGACACCAACCACACTTTCTGCTGACAGACACCGGCGCCCTCCAGCTCTGTAGCTCTGGGCTCCTGTACCACCAGACAGCCAGGATATCATAATCTTGTTTTACAGCTGAAGCCAGCCATGGATTTCATTCTGTAAACTACTGCTTTTGGTCATGGTGAACCCTGTGTGTGGTTTGGGTTTGGTTGTTTTGGGGTGTGTGTGTTTTGGTTGTTTTTGCTTTTGGTTGTTGGTTTTTTGTTTGTTTGTTTTTTTCTAAAAAAAACAGTACATACTCCTGGAGGAGTCTATAAATGTCTTACTGCTGCAGTAATTGAAAACAATACAATGAACCAAACCAGATTGTAATCTGCAAAGACACCTGCATGGTATCTCCTGGCTTAGTCAAACTCATCACACTAATTCAGTGTTAGATGCTATTGAACTACTCATCCATGGCACTTGGATCTTAAATCAAGCTGAGGACAGTGTCATGACAGAGCAAGAGCTTCAACTGCTACATGCAGCTGCGCAAAAGCCAGGTGAACCTACCTGTGGCAGTTTCCACAAGGGATGGCCCCCTGTGGGGAAGCCACTGGAGGAAACAGGCAGGACTCTACCGTGGGAGAGCTGTTCTCAGGGTACGACCCTGTCCCCCAGCCCCTTGGCTCCAGCTATACCTGTGAGTTACAGGAAGTCACCGAGTCCAAATGAATCATCGTGCAGGGCTTGGGACTCCTCTTACAGCTGCCCCGGTCTATAACATTGCATTTGGTGAAGTTTTCCCAAGGTGTTTTTCTCATTAACAGGTTTATTTTCTTATTTAGGAAAATGTTTATTTTCCTAGTTTTATTTGCCAGCACTGTTTTATCAAATTCTTCCCTTCCCAGAAACTGTGATGGAGATTATGAAATTTGGAAACTAATTAATAATATACATATATCATTAAATTATTATTCATTCATTAGTTCCAATATTCTCAAAATAAATGGATTAATGCAGAGATCACACTTAGTATAAGAATAATACCTTTTGGAGTATATCATACAGAATTTTTTTTTTTTAATTATTTCCCCTCTATCATGTTAGTCTTAAATACGCAGAATTTTAAATGAAGTGACTCCCACAGACTCTATCATGCCTGTCCTAACCAAAGATTGCATTCCTAAAATTTTGCACTTCAGAATTCATGGGAATATGTGAAAGCCTCAACTTTCATCAAAAACACCCTTCATTTTTATAAAAAGCAAACCCAAACCCTCAAGGTTTTAGAAAACAATTTGAATTTGTGACCCAAGCACACACAAAAACCCCCTTAAAAATCAAGAAGTTCATATAAGAATGCAAAATACAAACTGTATCAATAAAAGCCACTCTTAATTCAGTGCATGAAAGAAAAACAAACAAACAAAAAAACCTTCAGGAGAAAAACTGCATTTGAGTCATAAGAGCAATGAACTTGCTTGCACTTCAGCCACATAAGAGTTTTGGCATTGAAAAATTAATAATTTTCTCAGTATTTACTGAATGAAGAAAAGAATACTGCAGAGAAGAGGGTGGAATGAATTGTACTTGAAGTAGGGATGGCCCACTTTAGCAAGAAGGGCCAAAGGGATGCGGGAACAAAGAACCCAAACGCTTTCCTCGGTGTCTCCCACTCCCTGGTTTTCGAGAAATCCTGCTGCATGTATCTGCTCTGTTCTGCTACAGTCAGCACTGGGGAAGAAAATAACCCAGCAACTGAGGCGGTTTTCATCATCACCAGAAATGGAGAGTAAAGGACTTGGTGTCTATGAGCCAGCCTACCCAAGTGATGCTGTCCAGAAGTTTCAGGTAGATGCTCTCTCATGGGGACAGGGAATGAAAGCTCAAGCCTCCCACAACTTAGATACGACTTTCTACAGAAAACAATATGTAATTAGCATCCATTTGCTTAATTTCATTTCTGTTATTAGCACATACAAATAGCTACGGTGGATTGGATCCATGACCCATCTAGTCCAAGAAACTGCCTCAAGTTGTGGTAACTGATGGCCAGGAAAAGTGCATACAGAGCAGGGCAAGTGGGCAACAGTGCCCAGTTTATCCTCCCAGCTCCAGTATGTATTGGTTAAGGAACTTGCAAAACTGGAGACTTCATCAAAACCATCATGTTTGATAATCTCTGATAAACCTCACTCCATGGGCTAGACAAGCTGTTTTTTATTAATCCCCATCCAATTATGAAACACCATGATATATTTTCCTACTGTAAAAATAGTTAAGCAAGACTCCTTGGACAGAAATATCAGGAAAGCTTGAGATTAAATAAGCTTGGGAAAACTCAGTCTGGATACACTCAAAAAATAAATACATCAAAATGCATGTATCTTTGCTAAACCCCACAGTCTTTAATCAAAATTCCCACCAAAGCGAGTAGCAAAAGGCGAGTTGTTGCCAAAGTTCACAGCGAGAACCATGGGATGAGAAGCAAAGTTCTGTCAAAAATGAGAAATTGTCAAGAAGAGGGAGCAGGAGGAGCGGATCAGTTCTCGGCACAACAATCTCGGGCTGCCTTGAAGTCGAGGGGGCTCAAAGAGCCACTTAAGCCGGTGCTCAGGATTCTGCTGAACTGGAGCCTGAACAGTTATTATTTATACGCTTATCACAGAGAAATGTGAATTCCATTGGAAAGGGAAAAAAAAAATAAAAAGGAGAGAGAGAGGACAGTAGCATGCAGTGTCACAGACTCACAGAAGTACTATACACATCTTTGTTCTGCAGACTTCACAGAGAGGATTTAAATGGGCAGAGGGATACACTGGATTTCTGTTTAATGATTTAAAATGCTGGTGTTTAGCTACACACGTAACTCATGCACTTGTACAAGGTCCAAAACCAGGCAGTCTGTACAGATACACCACCAAAGTCACTACCTCATCCATCGAGAAAGTCTAACTACAGCAGCCCCAAAAGGTTTGAAACCCCAGGCCAGCACCCTGAGCCACGCACACACGTGCCTATGCCACAGCAAGGTTTGTATTCCCACAGCCACTGCCATCAGTACTGGGGCTTGCAGTTCAATTCAAAGGCACTTCAACCATCTCCTACATACACCTGCAGCCACAAACACAACCATGATGGGAACATAGCCCAAGAAGTCCACAGGTTGGGCTGGGAAGGGAACACACGCAACAGTGTGAAAAGCATTAACAGCTTCACATTTCTACCATCAGATGGAAAGCGAAGGAGTGCAGCCTGTCCACAGCCTGGCTGGACCCAGACCCACCTCCTACACCAACTCACTGCATTTCAGAAGCAGGCTTAGACAAACAAAAGCCCTTCTGCTTCAAAGGGAAGTCCTCTAAAAAAAATCTTCCTGCAGGACCAGAGACAAAACCCTGAAGTGTTCAAACCACTTTACTTCCAATAACCAAGTAAAACAAAAAAAAAATCATGTCATACCTGCTCCAAAGGCAAAGAAGAAGCTTTTGTCTGTGTTCTCCCTTAAAAGCGCCATCACTCTCTTCCCCATCCTCTCATTCCTCTTGTAGATGAGCTCCTGTCTGAAGTAGCTGTCTATCTCCTGAGCCGTCACCTGCTCGTGGGGTGGGAGAGTTGTATTGATGAAGTTGGGAACCTGAAGTGGAGAGAGAGCGACTATAGTTCAGGTGACAGTGGTTAAATAATCCCCCAAACACTGGATGTTTTAATCTAGCCTTTTTTAAACCACATGAGCCTTACTAGTATTAAAAAATTTTATATATATATATATCTCACTGGAGGATAAGAGCTTAAGAGGTTGCTAGGAACTCTACAAAAACAAATCACCACCCAACAATTTCTTTTAATGTGAAACTACTATTTTACTAAATGAAACTTAAGATCATTTTGATTTTCCTCTGTTTCATCAGCAGAATGTAGTTTTAGGTGTTACATTTGGGTGAGTTATTAAAACCTTTATTCTCTGCTTGTTCAACACAGTTCATTGGCTATTTAACACCAGAACAAGTTCTGTAATCTGTTCTCAGCCAAGGTCACCATGAACTTGAGTAAAGACTGCAAGATTTGGCTTTTATATGCTTCTTTTTAATAATCTATCACTTAAAAAATAGGAAAGGTTACCAAATCCAGACACAGGATGATGTAAATAGGGTAAAGGTTAAACACCCAAGGACTGTTCTAGTCAGGGCAGCAGACCCAAGAGTGAGTCAAGATCTGAGATATAGGGGACACACAAGAGAGAAATCCCTAATTATTGGGACAGGCAACTTGTTCTGACATGGTGAGGGTCTAAGGTCTGCCATAAGAGTGTGGGATCCTACAGGCCCTGCAGGGAGAAGTGCTGTATGTGGGCAGTGTTTGATGACTGCTAACAGGACCCAGGCACCTCCCAGCAATGTCCTGTGCCTCACCACTGGAAAGCAGCTTAAGCTGCAAAACCCAGATTCAGATTTCTGAGTCCCTGGGTACATGTAAAGCTGCCAGGATTTCCAGTGTTAATCTGAGTCGGTGGTAATGATATTGCATGCACAGCCCATAGGGGGAACATCCCCCACTCACTGTGCTGAAATACCGGATGCGAGGACTCTGTTACTTTGGTTTAGTTCTTTCTCTGATTTTCTGCTATCCCAAATTCCTGTACTCATTTTCTAAAACTGGTCTTCAGTCTTTGTTTTTCAGCCCACCCCTTACCTTCCCACTTGGTCACATGATTTTAACACAACAATATTTGTCTCTTTCCACCCTCTTTGCTCATACCACCTCTCCAAAAGCTTTCAGCAAGTCTTAG